GGTTTATGGTATTTCAAATTCATCAAATACTGAAACGAGAATACCTATGTTATGCCAAGAAAATACACCCGATACTCTAACATTTCCGAACCCCTCCTTGTCTGACCGCCTTCTGCGTGAACCTGGAATTATATTCTTGGCGTTTGGGATAATGAACAAGACTCTTCCGTATTGTCCTATTCTCCCAAAACCCTAATATTTCCGTCGCCCCCTCCGTGTGTGTCCGCCTTCTGCGTGAACCTGGCATTATAGTCTTGGCGTTTGGAATAATGAACGAGACACTTTCGCCTGGTCCATTCTCCCAAAACCCTAATATTTCCGTCCCCCCTCCGTGTATGACCGCTTTCTGCAGTTTCATTAAACCGATTAACGTTCAACAAAAAGCAAAACATAACTGAGTATTTGGTCGCCGCAGTCATGAGAGATGTTCTAGCAGCAAGTTTAGCGCAAACATTTTTGATTACAAACAATTTTCATTATAATTTTTTAACATTTCGCAAGAATCTAATTTTGTACGATTTATGTGTCCATAGCTGAATAAAAATATCATTGTCCTTCTAACTGATTGACCGATTTGAATGAAAATGTTTGCGTCCTTTCAAGTGGAATACATTTTTTCGCGAAGCAGATCGACCTAATCAAAAGAATCGTGTTTGTGCTTCGAATTACATGAAATTGTTTCATACCAGGAATTGGATATCGATATAATTTAGGTTTAATTTAGACTCTTTAACATTATTTACTTATCTCCTTACAATACCAGTTTCAATGTCCAAGTCTTTAGTATATTTACATATACATAAATAAATTAAATTCTTAATATTTCAATAAATTAAATTTCATTATCCTTAATTATTTATGTTGTCACAAATGTATATCATAAAAAGCCATTACAGCAACTTCATACCATGGCCCTTTTGTAATCATCGACCTCTCTGCCATTAACATAAACATAATTATCGACCTCCATGTTATCGTTTTAATCACCATGACCAACACCACGTTTCTTGTTAGCGCGCAATGTCACGACGAACGGTGTAACCGACGTGCTAAACAAGCAACGAGACGAACGAAAAGTGGGTGCGCGACTGACATGGCGAAAGTAGCAAAACTGGGTCAACAGAAAAAGCGTGGTTAAGGATTTTCCTGTGATACAAAATTTTGTTTTTTTCTCTCTCCCTCTCTCTCAATTTGTCGAATAGTATACATAGCAGAGTACGTTAACATTGTTTCTCTGTTAGCTACATATGTGCATAAACACGTTCATATGTATGCTTGTATGTATACACTTTTGTTTGTCCAACTTGTTTTCCCACCCTTTGAAGAATTGTTTGCCTTCTGCCTTATTGCTTTTGTTTTTATTGCTATTCGTTTGTGGCAACTTGTTTGCGTTCACTTATACACACTAGGAGACATGTGTATATGCAAACCAGCACATATATACACATGCATTGAGAAGGTAGGCAGATATGTGGTCCATAACCAGCCCACCACTTTGTGGGTGGCCGATGTCAACATGGTTGACGCTGCAACGCAATCGATTCGGGGAATAAATTTAAGTTTCCTTTAATACTGGCATTGTTGGTGTTCCTGTTTGTTTCACATCTGTCTTCATCTGCTTGTCATTTCAATACAACTGTTTGGCGTTTGAGTTAAATGCAGTCCATCGTTCTTCCTTCCGTTGTTTATGAACGACTTTTGCGTACGAAAAGTGTGTAGAAGGTAAATTTTCCTTTTATCTAAGCGTTTCATCCTTTGAAAGCAAGAAAGTCGTGAGATCAATTGCAGAGACGAGAAGCATAAACTTCATAAAATGACGAGACGAGTTGATTCAGTTCAATACGAAATCCAGTTCCAACGCGTAGGCAATTGAAAAGTAAATTCCTCTTTCAACAAACAAAAACCAAACCGCTCCTCATACCCGTCCTACTATTAGGTGATGTAGAAGGTTCGTTCGGCTTTTTTTTTATTGATTTTTCAAAATATATTGTGTGTATTTGTCCGATTCAAATCAAATATGCGCAGTTTTGTTCGTAAACTTGTTGCCAACGAGAGCCAACTTCATTAAGGCTGCGTCCCTATTGGGAATAAACTCGGAGAGCCAATTTTCACGGGCCTCTCTTGAGGCCAAATTCTCGCCATTAAGCGCGTTCGCTATGGACAGGAAAATATGGTAATCACTTGGTGCCAGGTCCGGACTATAAGGCGGATGCATTAAGACCTCCTATCCGAGCTCCTGGAGCTTCTGGCGCGTCACCAAAGATGTGTGTGGCTTGGCGTTGTCCTGATGGAACACAGTTCGGCCTCTGTTGATTACAGATGACCTCTTCTGGATAAGTGTTGCCTTTAAGCCGTCCAGTTGTTGGTAGTCTAGGGCCGAATTGAGCGTTTGGCCATAGGGGAGCAGCAAGTATTAGATGATTCCTTGCCAATCCCACCAAACACACAGCAAAAACTGGTGCATCTCTGACATCGAAATTATCAGAACGGAACCTATCCAACCACATTTGTGCTACACGTTCATTTACAGTAACGGGCCCATAAACTAAATTAATTTTCCCAGCCGCTTTGGCTGCTTTTTCGCCTTGATGAACGAAAATTGTAAAATATAGCAAATTTTATCTTTACTGGTGTCCATCTTTGACGAGCGCTCACAACGTACTGAGCCAATCAATCGAAAAACTGTCAAAGACAAACTTTTAGCGCGAATAAATATTTACGTTTTCAGCGCCGTATAGTAGGACATGATGCGACACGTAACACTAGTACTATGGGCAATAACGCCATCTCTTAGATAAAAACCGAACGAACTTTTTACTTGACCAATATATATATATTTGTAACTACTTTATAAAGTTGAAGTTCGGCCGAAAATCGCTTCAGTGGTTGCAAAATGTCAACTATATTTATTTTACAGTATATATATATTGCATATAATTGGTGATTTGCAACCACTGAAACGTTTTTCGGCCGGACTTCTCCTCCAAATTCGTGGTTTTTTTCCAACAAATGGAGGGACCTACAGTTTATGCTAAGCCGCTTCCGAACAGCTAATGATTTTCATGGGAAGATATTTAATTCTTATCAGAAATATACTCGGAGGGCTTTGACACTCCCTGCCGAGGGGCGGCCGCAATTAGAAAATTTGGCTTATTTTTTTATTTAAATTATTTTTCCAAAATTGTTTGGATGTTGGTCGTTCCACGATTTGAACCCGAGCAGTACGCAATGCTAACCACACGGCTACCGCGGCCGACATAATCGAAATTTAACAGTACATTTTTTAAACAAACTATTGTGGATTCAATAACTGAAAGTTTAAACATTGTATTAAAGATATCTGATTGTAAATAAATCAATTTAAAACATCTGTATTATTATTTATGTAATATATTTCAGTAATATAATATTTATTTAAGCCATTACAAGTAAATTTTAAAGATATTGGATGAGTGCATAAGTTCGTGCCCGATTCCGCTAGATGCCGTTCGAATCGTTTGAGAGTGGCGCTCGTGAAAGAAATGTATACATTTTATATATCGTTGGAAAGGTGACTGTCCGAACTGTAAATCAAGCATAAAATAACTTCATTTTGATTTGAGGTGCTTAGTGAAAAGATGCTTGGAAGATGGACAACGAAAAAGATCACATGCGTCATATTATGTTATACGAATTCCGCAAAGGAAAAACAGTAGGCGCTGCAACTAAAGATATTCGCGAAGTTTATTTGGACCGTGCTCCAGCACTCCGCACAGTAAAGAAATGGTTCGCGAAATTTCGTTCTGGAGATTTTAACCTCGAAGATCAACCTCGCAGTGGACGGCCTTCTGAGCTTGATGACGATGTTCTAAGGACTTTAGTTGCGAATAACTCACGTATTTCGACGGAAGAGGTTGCCAGTGAATTGAACGTCAACAAATCAACTGCGTTTCGTCGTTTAAAAAAGGTTGGGTACACTTTGAAGCTCGATACATGGGTGCCACATCAGTTGAGTGAAAAAAACAAAGTGGACCGTATGTCAACAGCAATTTCTTTGCTTCGACGGATCAAAAACGAACCTTTTTTGGATCGGCTCGTGACTGGTGATGAAAAATGGATCCTGTACAACAATGTTCAACGCAAAAGAACATGGAAACAGGCACACGAAGGGGCGGAACCGATGTCGAAAGGTGGATTGCATCCGATGAAGGTACTGCTGTGCATTTGGTGGGATATCCGAGGCGTGATCTATTTTGAGCTCTTGCCAGCTGGAGAAACGATCACTGCCAACAAGTATTGTCAGCAATTGGTCGAATTGAAGAAAGCAATTGATGAAAAACGTCCGATTTTGGCCAATCGCAAAGGAGTTCTTTTCCATCATGACAACGCCAGGCCACATGTTGCAAAACCGACCCTGGCCAAACTGAAGGAGATGAATTGGGAAATCATGCCGCATCCCCCATATTCACCCGACATCGCACCTTCTGATTATCATTTGTTTCGATCGCTGCAGAACAATTTGAATGGAAAAAAATTTGAAAATGTGGAAGACATCAAAAACCACCTTGACACCTTTTTCAACGAGAAACCGCGCGATTTCTATGAATCCGGCATCCGTAAATTGGCTGAACGTTGGGAGTGGATTGCCGAACATGATGGCGAATACATAGTTGATTAATAAAAGCGCTTTCTTCAAAAAATTTCAATTTCAGTTTGCACTTGAAATCGGGCACGAACTTTTGCACTATTGCTGTTTATAAAATAGCTACAAATATTAACTATATTTAGATATATTGCTCAGTGATGTGAACTGAGTTGATCTGATTAGTAGTATTATTTCATATAATACATTTTCAAGACCCAACATTGAGATAAGACTCCAGAGGATATTCTGCCTTTCGCCCAACAACTGTTAGAGTTTATTAATTTTAATTTTAAAACTTTGTCTACATAGATTAAAAACAGAAACTCTCCAAACTCACCAATTTACTTAATTTAATTTTTATTCTTCTCCTTTTTAGATATTCCAGACATTCCTGATGACATCAAACACCTGCAAAGTCTGCAGGTCGCTGATTTCAGTTCAAATCCGATTCCAAAATTGCCTGCAGGATTTTCTCAACTCAAAAATTTAACAGTTTTAGGTTTAAACGATATGTCGCTCACCACATTACCAGTAGATTTTGGATGGTGAGTTTTTGCTATTAAATAATATATTTAACATGTATGTATATGCATGTCCAATTCTCAACTAAATGCTTTCATTTTTAATTCCAGCTTAACACAATTGGAATCATTGGAATTGCGTGAAAATCTCTTGAAACACTTGCCTGAATCGATACGACAATTGACCAAGCTTAAAAGATTAGATTTGGGTGACAATGAAATTCAAGAACTGCCACCATATCTGGGCTATTTGCCCGGCTTACACGAGCTCTGGCTCGATCACAATCAGTTAGAAAGGCTGCCACCTGAGATTGGTTTATTAACCAATTTGACATATCTTGACGTTTCGGAAAATCGGTAAGTTTTATGTTTTTTTTTTGTTTTTTAGAAATTTAAATTCCTTTTGAAAATTGGAATAATTATTAGCAATATATATATTAATTCTAATTTCTTTTTACAGACTCGAAAAATTACCTAATGAAATTGGAGGCCTCATAAATTTAACTGATTTGGATCTTTCACAAAATTTACTTGAAACTCTACCCGATGGTATTGCCAAACTAAGCAGACTGACAATTCTTAAACTTGATCAGAATCGTCTACAAATGTTGAACCCGACTATAGGATCGTAAGTATTTGGTATACCATTAATGTTATGCATACATAGCCGGTTTTCAATTTTATATTGGTTTGGCTTCAATAAATTATCTACGTGCTTGTACGTACGTATGTATGTATGTTAATCTAATAAAATTCATAAATGTTTATGTTTGCATCGGAATTCCATCGCTGACTAATCGCATAAGTCGTTATCTATACACACATTTGTATTTTTATATATGTACATTTGTACATTTGTATGTTAATAATTAATAATAGCACGCCGTTATTTCGAAAATTCATAACCAAATCGTTTAAATTTTTGTCTACAGATGCGTAAGCATGCAAGAACTGATATTGACCGAAAATTTCTTATCAGAATTACCCGTATCGATTGGCCAAATGACAAAATTGAGCAATCTGAACGTTGATCGCAACTCATTGGAAAAGCTACCGGCCGAGATGGGAAATTGTGCAAATTTAGGCGTTTTGAGTTTGCGCGATAATAAATTAAAGAGACTGCCGCCAGAGTTGGGTAACTGTTCAGTGCTGCATGTTTTGGACGTGTCCGGCAATCAATTGCAGTATCTACCATATACATTGGTAAATTTGCAGTTGAAAGCTGTTTGGTTATCTGAAAATCAAGCACAGCCGCTGTTGACGTTCCAGCCGGACACAGACGAGGCAACAGGTGAACAGGTGAGTGTACCCTCGAGAGTATATACTACACAATAAGCTGAAGTACACAAGCAAAGAAGAATGACAGATAAATGGCAAAATATGAGTATGTACATATACTCGTATAGTATGTATGGAAATGTACGTACATACATACGAGTACATATGTACGTACATTGTTGGTGTAGTGTATGAGATGGTGATAAATGGGGAGGTAGAATGGAGGCAGCAAGTTTAGCTGATAGTATGCGATTTTGTTAGTGCATGCGCGTGCCAATCGCAATTACGTGAAGTGGCAGTTACGCCTTGTTGCTGCCAGAGAATGAAGCTTTTGACGTAATCTTGTTGCCCACAGTGCTGGTTACCTACATATGTACGTACATACAGATATGTTAATATGTACATGTATATGTGCGTGAATTGAATTGAAGTATGCTTGTAAATATTTGTTCATATTTACATTTTACAAGCATAAGGCCTTTGTTTTTCTCTTGAATTTTGCTTGTGTATTTGGTCTGGAGTTCTAAATAATCTCTATTGTGTATTTCTAAATATTTATGTGTGTTTGTATGTAACTAATAATAACAATTTGTTTTTGTTTCGTTTTTATTTTATTGCATTTATTTTGGCGCTGATTTCGGCTTATTAGGTGCTGACATGCTTCCTACTGCCGCAACAAGAATATCAACCCATAACACCAGGTAAGTTTCGAATTAAAAGATTTTTCGGTTTGTTTACAAGATTTTGTGCATACAGAAATATTTCTAATAAAGTAAATAGCTTTGGTAATTATTATTGAAATCTTCGGAAAATTTTTGATTGTGTACGTGAAAAAAAAGAATATTTTCAAAGCATTCTGAGGGAGTTATATAATATGTATAACGCGAGTATTACACACACACATATGTACATACATGTACATAATTCTTTCGGATTTAATTTTCTCTCTTCACGCAATGATTTATTAAAAGCAGTATTTATGAATTTCCATTAAAAATTTCAAATTTTTTTTCGTTGTTTTATTGGCAAGTGAATGAATCGATACAAAATCCCGTATTCGCGTGTTGCGAGCGCTATGCCGCATTCGCAGTTATCTATCTATGTATGTATGTATATATGTATGTATGTATGAGTTAAAGTTTTGTTTACCTCACTTTTAACCTGTTTTATTGCGCGTTGCTAAGAATAGGTATAACTTGAATACCAGTTTGTTTCCCTACATACATATATGTATATGTATATGTATGCACATACATTACATAAACATACATGCTCTGAACACCAAGATAATGACACATCGATCGAATCCACCATATCTCTAATGATAACATAACTAAGTTAAGCAATTTAATTATTTACGCTTCACTGAGGATATGAACCAAACAAATATTCCCAAGCACACACGCACATATTTGAATGAAAATCACGTAATAATTTTTTAGTCATCATAATTAATATACATATAATATTCGGTCAAGTAAAAAGTTCGTTCGGTTTTTTATCTAAGATATGGCATTATTGCCCATAGTACTAGTGTTAAGTGTCGTATCATGTCCTACTATACGGCGCTGAAAACGTGTTTATTCGTGCTAAAAGCTTGTCTTTGATAGTTTTTCGATTGATTGACTCAGTACGTTGTGAGCGCACGTCAGAGATGGACACCAGCAAAGAGAAAATTTGCTCTATTTTAAAAATTTTTCTTCGATCAAGGCGAAAAAGTAGCCAAAGCGGCTGAAAAAATTAATTTAGTTTATGGGCCCGATACTCTAACCGAACGTGTAGCACAAAAGTGGTTTGCTAGGTTCCGTTCCGGTAATTTCGATATCAAAGATGCACCCGGTTTCATTGTTTGTTTTGTGGGATTGACAAAGAATCATCAACTACGAGCTGCTTCCCTATGGCCAAACGCTTAATTCGGCCCTATACTACCAACAACTGGACGGCTTGAAGGCAGCACTATTCCAGCAGGACAACGCCAGGCCACATACGTCATTGGTCGCGCGCCAGAAGCTCCAGGAGCTCGGATGGAAAATCCTAATGCATCTACCTTATAGGTCGGAGCTAGCACCAAATGATTACCAACTTTTCCTGCCCATGGCGAACGCGCTTAATGGCGAGCAGTTGGCCTCAAGAGAGGCCTATGAAAATTAGATCTCCGAGTTTTTTTTGCCAATAGGGACGCAGCCTTCTACGAGAGGGGTATAGTGAACCTCGTTGGCAACAATATTATGAACAAAACGGCTCATTATCTTATTTTGAAAAATGAATAAAAAACCCGAACGAACTTTTTATATGGTGCAAGTTTTGATGTGGACAAAATTTTACATTTAAATTTTAAATTTAAAGACTGTTTAATTTAGTTGAAGAGTTGTTTAATTGTGAAAACTAAAAAAAGCTTTTGGAGCGGTTTTGGTCATACTGTCTGTGACAAATAAATATAAAAGCGTTTATTAATGTTTTTTTTTTTTACATTTTTGATCAAATTTTTTTTAGACTTTATTATAAACTCGTCTGCATATGTTGCTTATTAAAATAAATTTGGTTATTTTATTGACAAAATTGCCTAGAATTGTCGTCGACTTTATTTATTATAACGTTTAGCATTATTTATAATGTAATTAGCGAACAAATGGACTCACATTTCTTACCACTTATATGAACTATACTATATAAAATTAGTAAAAACAATTCAGTTTACTATTATATTTCGTACGAGGCGATATACATACATATGTTTATTTTGAACTAATCCATACATGCACATACACACATATCCATCGCACCTAGCCGTGTTAATACAATATATATTACTTTATGTTCAAAGACTATCCACCGGGCCAACTCTATAGATCGAGCGAGAAATTCGATTCCTCGGACTTCCACATTTACCAACAAAAAGGTTTGCCGCAATTACGTAATTTGTTTTCATTTTTATTTGTTAATATTTTTCTTTGCTCGATTTGCATATTCATATAATATTTTGAATGAAAACCTGACAAGTGTTGCGGTTCTGTAACTTTTTAGCTACACTTTCCAAAGCTAATTTAACAATTTTAACATTAATGCTATTCAGTAACGATTTTTGTGTACATTTTGGTTATCTTGTTAAGTCGTCTTTTTAAGATGTTAAAATATAGACGTGTTGTGCGGTCAGAAAAGTACCGGACATATTGGTCGTAAATCACAAAATATTTATTATATTTACCATTCAGTCAACGCCCTCAAAGTTGGCTTCTATCGAAATAATCCAATCATTAAAATATGCTTTGAAAATATTAATCTTCTTTCACTCCTCTTAGCCGGTGTGTCCTATAATACTTTAAATATGTTATCAATATTGTATCAACCTTATTTATTATAATTATTTTTAAATAAGAAAAAGGCTGCCGAAAAAGAGTGCATACTGACTGCATTAACGATAAATTTCACTATAAACAAAAAATCGCAATCGTTTCGGTTGAAATATTAACGTTAAGACGGTAATCAAAATAAATTTTATTTCGTTTTTTACCCGAAACGAAAAGCTGTCGTTAATGTTAAATCGTTAACAGATAATATTAAACGCTAAAACTTATGTGCGCTGTTAAATCATTTTAAAATTAATGTTAATCATGAGTTTTTGCGGTTTCAATATCAAAATTACTTTTCGTTTCGGTAATATAGCGCGGAAACAGAACAAAACCATCTCCTTTATTTTTAAAACTAACTAAACGAAATGACATTGTTTCGTTAGTTGAGCATCTCTGCTGTCGACTCGTATTGCCTCCTGTTTTTCGAAGACGAGTATACTCGTTTTTAGTTTTATGCGTGCAAATGAATATGTTCGAGGTGTGACAATTAAGTAATGAGATTGAATGTATAAAAACCGTATATTTCAAAATTATTCTACAACTCTGCTCCCTTGGGCAGTTATACAACGATTCTAGCGCGTTTTCCATGCTTCGTAACATTTCTGGAACGTTTCGACTGTGATGTCCGCGAGTACCCTTGTCACGGCCACCTTGATGTCCTCAATCGACTCAAAATGGGTTCCTTTGACGCGATTTTGTTTTCCAAAAAAAGGCACAGGGTGACATATCGGTATATCGGGCGAATGAGGCAGTTGTTGAAACATGACGATCCCTTTAGAGGCCAAATTCTCGGAGACGCTGAGGGCGGTGCGACACCGCGCGTAGTCGTAATGAAGGATCCAGTTACGAGCGATGGCTGGGCGCATCCTATTGATTCGCATTCTTTCGAGTAATTGGCGATAGTAGACTTGATTTACGGTTCGTCGTGTCAGTCCTCGTCTTCCACGCTTACCCACTCCTCATTAAACTCTTTATGCCATCGAAACAGCTGGGCACGACTGAGAGCACTATCACCACCATGGTCTTTTACATTTTTACGTACGTACAGCAGGTGAACTAAACAAGCTACAACAATGGAGAGGAAAAGGATGCCGTGAGAAGGGAAAGGGAATCACAAAGTTACAGGGTTACCACAATCGCGGCAATATAATCAGTGTCATTACTTAATTGTCACACCCTGTATGATAATATTACATATATGTATGTGATCTTACCAAGAAACAACAGAGCTTCGGTAAACAAATCACTCGCAATATAAATGTCAACGAATGGAATTCGAAAAATGTATGCTTTCCAGCGTTTGGATTAAGTCGACTCACCGGAAGCCTTCTGTAACAGTTTTCTAATTTTGAAAGTAACAAGATTTGAAAATTAATTATATTTAATCTCTTTAATTTATGTACATTTGACAACAATGGGTTACTGAATCGCAATTCCCATATATTAGTATATAAAATTGTTCGTCTAATAATTTTAGTTTAATCATAGCCTGCCATTACTGAAGCGCGCAACAGTTGTCAATTTGTATTTCTATTAACAGCATTTGCATTAAAAAAATATATTTAATCTAATAATATGAATGAATTTCTGTAAGCTATATACATATATATCAATAATATCCTGACTCAGCAATATTATTTATAAATAAGCATAATATTTGAAAAATCCATAACTAATTTTTTTTAACCTCCAAATTAGTAGAGTGAAAATATCTTTGCTTAACATTGTTCAAAGTTTTGGACGCTAGAAAAATTTGTATATTTCCTCTTTTAACTGGCACACTACAGTCGGATTTTAAGATTTTTTACGCTTTCTTTTATTCATAGAAAATATAAATATTTAACATTTTCCCATCGATTCCGGAAATTTATTTATTTAAATACCAAATACTGCGAGTTTCGAAGTCTTTTATGTTAGTTTATATATATATAATAAAATCTTCAATAGCAAAAAATATTTTTCCATGTATGAAATGTAATGTCTGTCCGTCTGTTTGAATCAATCTCTTAGTTTTTGAAATATTTTAACCAAACTTGGTACACATACCCGGAACCGGCCTGCGCGCCTATAGATTTTTTCTAAGATTTTTGGAAAACAATTCGTCAAAAAAGCATCATCTAAGTGCGTCAAGTTTGGTATTCAAGACAGGTACCTTCAAATAAGTATTTATACATCAAAAGCGAAAGATATATTATATATTCTTCTAACAATCGATTTTTCAGATAGGAGATTTTAGAATAAAATTTCGGCATGGAAGACATAATTTTTTTTGGTTTTTTTTCTTAACTTCCTAGATCGAAAATATTGTTTTATCTTTTTTTATTTTTAACATCAACATGTAAGTTAGACCA